GAGAATGTTGTTTGCAGAGATTGTGTTACTTTACCCTATCCTTATTTATTTGCACAGTTAAAGTTAAAAGAAAATCAATCTGAAAGTACCACATGGTACTTATTTTCCTGGAAGTTGTAAACACTTTTGAGTCCACTTTTGGGGTCACTGCTGACACTTACGTATTTTAAAAAGGAAAAGCTTTTTCCAAGAACAGCTCTCTCAATGTAGTATTTGATTTCTGGTTTGTGCCTATTTTTGAAGACTGTACCAGTGTGTTGCAAAACTGGGGCTTTAGTTAAAATTTTAACTGGAAACTTTGCTTTAACCTGTTCAGATACTGGATTTTAAATATACTGCAGATGTTCACCTGTGCTATCACAGCATGATTTAAAATTATTAACTATTGTTTGATAGCAGTTGAAACAATACATGGCGATTTTTAAACTTGTTTTGAAGAAACTGAGCACACACATACTTAGGTATCCTGAAAGACTAGCCTTAGAGATGAAGCACCAGGGAGAACAAGAAGAATGATAAAAGCTTGACAGAAAGCTTGACAACTGTCTATGATGGTAGTCAGAATGCATATAGATACAGCATTTGCATTATATCCTAAACATGATTATAGAAGAAAGGGCTATAAAGCAAGTTATTTTCTTGAATCAGAAGTGCAGCAGTGGCTGTAAAGTATTACCATTAATTAAGAGAGTGTTGGGGGGGTGGGAATGTGTATGTGTGTCTGTGTGTGTGAGTGTGAGAGAGAGAAAGACCCTTTGCAGGTTTGCCTGTAATTACAGCATTGATGACATTTAGCAAATGAACTATAAGGAGTACAGATACTGGATTACTGAAGCACAATACCAGATCATACTGGCTTCATGGTACATACCTGGAACAGGGTATTGGTATCATTTGAAAAGGGAAGCCCAGCAACTGCATCATCCCTGCCCATCTGCCCCACCTCCTTTTATGCTATAGCTTGACTTAATGGGTCTGGTACAAGCTACTAAGCAACTGGGAACACTGGGAACTACCAGACCTTAGACTGTTGCTCATATAGGAGAGGAAGGAGCTGAATCCTGGAAAAAAAATTAATGTCTTCATTCTTAATGTATCCAGTAAGTGCCTTGTTAAGTTTTTGCTTCTGTACTTAGAGTGTTGTAGAGGGATAATATCTAATGTGGCAAAAGAAGTAGAGAGTGATAGAACATTTTGTTTGGGTTATGTGACACCTAGAGTTGGTAGCTGAGGCTTTACAGTCATGTATATGTAGTTTACTACCTAGTTACTGTATGACAGCAGCCCAGAACATAGGTAGAAGGCAGAGAACATGGAAATAATATTCCAATTTTATTTGCCACAAGCCACAGGAACCAAATTCTGTGAAGTTCTTTATCACATTTATTGTATCAAAAAAAAAAAAATTACCAACACAATAATGTGAAATTGCTAGTGTACACAACCTTGTACCAGGATGTGGCTTGAGTTTTTAGTAGTCTGAACAGACAACTATGATTTCCATGTCTCTTCATGTGAGGAGAACTAGCTTCTATCTCAAAACATCATGCTTACTATTCAGTCCGCTAATTAAAATCTAGAGGCAGTTGGTGGTATTGATACCGAAGCTCTTGTGCATCATTTATAAAGGGCAAAGTTCTTACACACCTGCGGAACCTCTCCTTCTTAAGACTGGCGTAAGATGACAAGGCTTGTTGGAAGGCTGCTGGGATGGCTATTGTGTCGTTTACTCCAGCATTGGAGCCATGTTGTTTGCCCTCTGTTTTTCCAGCATGTGCATGCATATACTCTCTAAAACTTAAAAAGTAGTTTTGGGCACAAATTGTAGCCATGTCCACTGTAAGCACAACCCTTTCTCCTTTCACATCAGATGTTCAAGCTGCCTGTAGGCTACATTCTTGATGCTTGCTGACCATCTCATGGTTAGGAGAAAAGATCATCTTTGAATCTACTATGTAAGATGGGTGTTGTTCTGATCGGAAAACAGAAAAATGTTGCTACAGATGGACAGAAGGAAGGAATTATTTCCGTGAAGGAAGAATTGTTACCAGATTGAACACTTGCTATCAGGCTAAGTTTAACTGAAGGCCCATTCTGGACTCTCGGCTAAGTTTTGCAAGAAATACTTTCTCTCCCAATGTGCTGGATTTGTAGGCAGCAGTAGGGTTCTTACCTCCTTCTGGCTAAATGGTGTTGGTCACCACTTCATCCCTGTGCCTTAGTGTGACTAAATTATAAGAATGTCATTTACATTGGTGCAAGCATTAGATTGTACCTGTGTGTTCTGACCAGCGTGGTTAATGATGCATGGAAACACAAAATAGTTGAGGGTAGAAAGGACCACTATGTTATCATGTATTTCATTACACACACCTGTGCACCACCATTCAAAAATCTGTTCAAAATGGATATGCAAGATTTTGGGCTACTTGTCATCTTTGTCATGCATTTGAATTACAGCAAAACCATCACCACAATTTTGAAGTGTGACTAGAACTTAAGAACCCCCAGACACATGAGCTAAGTTAATTCACACACTCACAATATGGAGCCCTTAAGGCTTTGATGAGCTGTTCGCAAGGTCCCTAAAGCCCTGTTTGGGCTTTAGAAACCAGTACAGAGTCATTTTTGTTCAGTTCCTTATTCTAGTGGCAATCCAGTACACATAAATATTTTACAGGTGTTCAGAAGTAATGGAACACTTCCACGGTAGCAAGAGAACTGCTCTCTAGGTTCAGTGAATGCACGCACACAATCAGTTTCCTGATTTGCAAAGAAGTAAGGCCTGTTCTGGTTATAGTCCTTTACTAGTTTGGGGGTGTGGCAGGGATTCTTGTTTGTTTTGGTTTGTTTGTTGTGGTTTCTCGAAGCTGGTGGTATGGGTAGGTTTTTTGTTGGTTTGTTGGTTGGGATTTCTTTTTCAGGTTTTGGAGGGGGTGTTTGGCTGGGTTGTTTTTTGGTTGTTTGTTGTTTTGTTTTGTTTTTTTGGTTGGTTTGCTGTTGTTTTTCAATGCATAACATACGTGCAAGTAGGCACCTGGAATGATCAGCAGGTTTGTTCTCTGCCTTCATGTGACTATTTCTATAAATGTGCATGTATTTCTAATTGATAGATTCAAATTGAATTTTTTAGTACTTGACAGTAAACTGAATAAATATTTAAACAGTACTTAAGAGGGCAGGGAATGGGTAACGTTATTGCCTAACTAGTTACATATGGTTAAGGTTGCTACTCCTGACATATATTTTCTGCTGTTCTAAGTATATTTGACCAGTAACGGCTAGCTCAAACATGTTTTTCTAAAGGTGTGGGTCTATAACTTGTCCTTGCAGATGCAGCGGCTTTTCCAGAGCTGTTGGTTTAGTCTGCATTTGAAATATATAACCCTTTTCATTTGGATTTCGTTTTTAATATATATACATATATAGGTGTATATATATTTGTAATTTCTACTGTAAATTTTCAGGGATTAAAAATCCTGAGGAATTTAAAGTAATGGGATCGTAAAAGGCAGGGGAAGGGAAAATCCCATCAGCAAGTGATAAGGTATTTCCAAATAATTTCTGTTGCCTTCTGTGTATGAAAATGGGTATCATGCTATTTCCATTCTTAACAATTCGATGTCACGGTTCATATGCACAGTGCTTGCTTATTCTGTTAAAGCACTTGTTTTATCAGATAGGCTTAATCTGTTTTTGTGAAGGACTAATTTATACTCTGGGAACCTAATATTAACAATATGGGAAGGCTCAAGAGATTTTGCAGGAAACATCTGTACTTGCATGCAGGTTAGAAAGTATTTTTACTCTTATTACCTGAGCACAGCAACTTCACCAGCCTGTATACTGCTTAGCTGCTTCACTTTGTTGCTGACCTGTAACTAACTGACTCCTCTTTGCTACTGGAAATTGTGGTACTAGCATCAGACTTGAAGAGAAATTTGAGATAATTTTCTGTATATTTACCTGGTCGAATGGAAAATGTTATGTAGAGGTTTATGCAGAGCATTATCAATCTAGAATGTCAGTTTAATTGTCTTTGAATGGTAGCAGACTGCTTTGTAATTTCATAATGGCATATTGTTAAGACTGTTGCTATGTTTGTGATCAAAGACTCTTTACCATTGGTCCTAAATGCTGATGTATAACCATTGTTTTTAATGTCATATGATAGCATGCATGGTTTGTATTTTAGATACAACATCCAAATAGAAACAGTCCTATCACATCTGAAACTCTTTTAAGTGCTATTTATCACCTTTGTGAAGAAGAAACATTATTGATTTCTTCATCTGTAATAAACTATAAATTTGACCCCACCTGTTTCTTTCACCTGTTTCACACACACAGGACTAATGACTTTCAAATCTGCAAAGTAAAAAGATGAGAAATCAAAAAGACAGGATGTAGTACAGAGCACTGCTTTTTCCATTGGAGTTTTCTGAAATGCTGTATCATGCCTATGAGATTGCTGTTTGTGTCTTAAGCTTTAGCCATCTTTGATAAAAGACATAATCCAGCTTTGGTTTATGTTTCCAGGCATCTTTTAGACTTTTGGAGACCTGCTTCAGTTGGGAATCTTTACTTTGTAAACTAACACTACAAAAGAGTTTTTCTCCCTTTCTGGCTAAGTGTGTATTCTTACTATTTCCAAGACCTTGCAATTCCTTTTGAAAAAGCAATCATCTTTCCCGAAGTATCAGAGACATTCTCTTAAGAGTACAACCCTTCTTGTGATTTAAATGCATTCCTAGCCACCTTGACAAAAATAGGAAAAAAACCTTAAATCCATGAAAGCCAAGAATTCATCTCCATTTGGGATTAAGACTTAATTCTGTGGTCAGAATTAACAGAAATAACAGCCACACAAACATCAAATACTGCGGTCTGAAACTAACATTACCCAGGTTACGTTGTGCACCCTAAGGAAAAGCAAGGAAATTTTATTTATTTATAAAATTAGATTTTATTTTACATCTTAGAAAAAAAAATATACTGGTCCCAATACAATTAATATACTCACATGGCCATTACAGTCAGTACACCAGGTTAAAAGAACACAGGAACTGAAGAAATGAGAGCAATTCACGATGCTTACTATAAAATCCCGAAATTCTTTGGACCAAGGCAAAGGCAAAACCTGCAATTACAAGGTGAAAAGAATAAATGCAAGTAGGAAAAAGTAAATTATGTCCAAATTAATCAAGTAAGGGGGATGCAGTTTTCACCTTAGATTTGTGCATGGTTCCACCAACACCGTATCACTGCCAGAAGGAGAGAGAATACTTGATTTTAAGTCAGTATGATAAACACTAGTGCATTTTTCATCATAATAATTACAGGAATATTCTTAACAAACAGAACTTGCCAAAACCTCGGGTACGAGTCGGAAGCGGCAGAGCCCAGCAGGCAGCGGGATTCCTCAGCAGCCATCTCTCGCCTGTGGGAAGCCTGTGTCGACGCGCCCGTCCGCGGTGGCCTCTCGCCGGGCGGGCGCCCCGAGCAGCAGCGGGCCGGCGGAAGCGGCGGGGCACGATGACGTTGGGATGCGCCGGAAGTCGCCTGATGGTGAGAGCGACGGGTCGGGGAGCGCCTTCTCTCCGGTGCCGGCGGTTCGCCCAGCGCGGGCTTGGCCCAGCCCTCCCCTCTCTTCATCGCCGAGCGGTCGTGAGGCCCTGGTCTCGTCTTGAGAGTAACCCTTCTGTCGTGGGTGCCTGCAGATTGTGGCGTGGGCTGCGGAAGTGCTGAGAGCCGGTCCTGCCGTGGGAGCGATGGCCGCAGGGAAGCACCCGGCCGTGCTGGACTCCGGGAGTCCGCGCAAGCCGTGGCGACTGCCCGCCGACGGACACCCCGCAGCGGGCTGCTACCTGAGGTGAGCGACGCGGAGCTATCGGCAGCAGCGGCGCTGAGTCTGCAGTCCTCGCCGTGCTTTTTGCGTGTGGAGGTATATGGGGAGCGGGCGGGGGGAGCGGATGGGGCTGGCTGCGTAACACCTGGAAAAGAGGCTCGAGCACCGGTTTCAGCGGCCTCATAGCAGCCCTTAATTTCAGTAATAGCTTCACGTACTGAATACAGTAAACGCCTTGGGGCTCACGGAGTTTTTATTCGTAGCCGGCCTATTAGAATTTTTTACTTGGTTTAAAGAGAACACATGCCTGTTTCAACAGCAACTGTATTCACTGCCATATGTGCTGAGGAAAGCCGGTAAGTGCTGTCTGCAGTAAAAGTTACTGTAATGAATCAACATAGTGATTTAATAGGAGCGGCTGCTTCTGTGCATTTGACATCCAGAACCTTCTTGTGTGTTTTATCAACAATTGCATGCCATGTGCAGCCTTTTACATTGGCAACTATAATTTTCTGTACTCCTGTGCCCTGTTAAGAGGTGTACTCTTAAGATCTTATTCTATGATGGTAAAGTGTCTGTATAGAAATAAACATGCTGTTGAGTCCCACTCAGATACCTCAGTTCTTTCAGTTTGGGAGTGCTGTGAAATTCAGACAGTTATCTAATGAATTAGACCTTCCAGGGAAAATAAATGTATGTTATTTTTTAACTGTTTACCTGATGTTTATCTTCTTAATCAATGGTCCCAGGTCACTGAAGGAACTTGAGATGTCACAGGATAGTATAAGTGCTTTCAGGGGGTGGTATTCAGTTTCACAGTTAAGTCTCAGTGGAAATAAACTGAGAAAATAGGAAAAAAAAAAAAAAAACAACAACAAGATTTTTAAAATGCATTTAGGTCAAAGTGGTGCAGACACATCAAAACTGATGCTACACCAGCGCAAGTTCAGGTCTTTACATGGGCCAAATAGAAAGATTAGAAAGACTTAACGTATCCTCCAACACAGTTTGTCCGACGTCTCTGTATACTTTTTAAAAAACTAACTAGTTACCTGCTTTGTATTTAAAATAGTTCAGGAGGAAGGTATGAGTAAATTATGTTAGTAACTAGCTTATCGCTCTGCTTTTGTGGTTTTTTTTCCTTTTATCAGAATAATCCATGAGTAAACTCTAAGACAGTGTTTATTTGCTGTAATGGGTATAAAATGTAACCCCTACTTTATTGGACTCAGAATTTGAAAGTGTTAATCTAAAACAAGAAATATGTTAACATTCATAATGAATGCTAACATTCACTAGCTACATACAATTTACTTGTAAGTCTGCTGTGGGACAAATGATAGTTCAGGGTGCATGCAAAGGCTTAGTCCTAATCTAAAGAATATTTTAAAATGCATTTGATCGCTTCAATCTATGTGTTAACATGCCATTTGGAATACTTATGTACCAGTAATGAAGTTGTGATTCATACCTTATTTTCTGAACGGAACTAATACAGTATTTTGATGTATCACAGGTAAATTTTTCCATAACCTTATGGAGAAAAAGGACTTTGAAGCATGGCTTGATAACATTTCTATTGCATTTCTTTCTCTGACGGACTTGCAGAAAAATGAAACTCTGGATCACCTGATTAGCTTGAGTGGAGCAGTCCAGCTCAGGCACCTCTCCAATAATCTAGAGATTCTACTCAAGAGGGACTTCCTCAAACTTCTTCCATTGGAACTTAGTTTTTATCTGTTAAAATGGCTTGATCCGCAGACCTTACTCACATGTTGCCTCGTCTCTAAGCAGTGGAACAAAGTTATAAGTGCCTGTACAGAGGTGTGGCAGACTGCGTGTAAGAATTTGGGTTGGCAGATAGATGACTCTGTTCAGGATCCTCTGCATTGGAAGAAGGTTTACCTAAAAGCTATTTTAAGGATGAAGCAACTGAAGGACCACGAAGCCTTTGAGACATCCTCTTTAATTGGACACAGTGCCAGAGTATATGCACTTTACTATAAAGATGGACTTCTTTGTACAGGTAGGAAGGACAGACAACTTGGAAGTCTTAAAATTCTTTGTTTTCTCGTCCCCCTCATAAGATTAATGACAATTTGCTTTTCTTTTACCAGAATACAAATTATTTTCATAGTGTGAATACAGATGATGATTCAAAATTACTTATTTTTTCAAGTTTTTAAACATCTGTTGTACTAATAAACTCATTAGTCACTTTACTAAGAACACAAGGAGACCGATGACTTTGTTGGATAAAGAAATAGTAACAGTAGGCATCATTGTCCCTGCCAATGGCACGGTGGTTGGAATTAAATGATTTTTAAGAGCCCTTCCGGTCCAGATTGCTCTGTGATTTTGATCATGCTCTTACTGTAAGTAAGCCCATTTGAGAAGTACAGATATGTTAGCTGTCCTCTTAGACAACAGCTTTCAATTAAAAGGACTTCGGGCTGTGAGAGAACTTCCGTCTACCAGAGCATGGAAGAAAAAGTCATATCTTCTTTGAAACAAGGCTGTAAGCCTAGGAACTTTCAGTTCCTAACATAAGTGTTTTATGAAGTGCTGTAAAACTAGATTTAACCTTGCTACTAGTCTGACTCGCACATAATTTCAGCTTCCTCCCTGAAGAGATTTCAATATTTCAGTTTAAACTTAAGTTACAGATAGAACATAAATGAAGCCTTAGTATGAAAGAATAATAACAGAGCTACAGTGAATCGCTGTCAGAACATGTTCCAAGGATTTTCCAATCATTTGGAACGACAGTGTTATTCTCAATATAAGTTGGGAATACTGACTTCAGTCGGTCATTTGTTGGTACATTAGGATACTTACTAGAAGCCAACAACTAGATTCTAGCCAGTCTTTCACTTACCTACTCAGCAGTGAATGTCATACACAGAAAACAGCATTGTCAAAACTTTCTGACAACTTTTGTACTGAAACCCCCAGGAGAAGAAGCAGATGTAAGGAGTCCAGGGTTTTATTTTGCTCTCCAAAGCTAGCAATTGAAAAAAGAGGAGCTTCAGACAGAGAAAAGAAAGTGGCAGGATATGAGGCCTGGTATTCATCTATATTTCAAGGTTTGCTGGAACCCTTTCCTTCCTGGAAGAAACTAAAGCTTGATAGTCAGTGGCTCTGCAAACCGAGTAATGTGTCACGTGAACTTCCATGCATCTGTTTCAATAGACACTGTCAGTCAGAGGTAGTGCTGGAATCTACCAATCTTGCATTTATCCTGTTGTTTTATATTCTAGGATCAGATGACTTGTCTGCAAAACTGTGGGATGTAAGCACAGGTCAGTGCATATATGGTATCCAGACACACACTTGTGCTGCAGTGAAGTTTGATGAACAGAAGCTTGTAACAGGATCTTTCGATAACACAGTAGCCTGTTGGGAATGGAGCTCTGGGGCAAAGACACAGCATTTCAGAGGACATACTGGTGCAGGTATGTTGAAATTTTAAAATTGTAATTTCACCAGTGAAGTAACATACCTCGTCATTAAACAAAATATAATTTAAGTTAGCTTTTTGCGCACTAGCTTTTTTGGTTTGTTCAGCCTCTGTTCTCTGTCACCTGAGTCCCCTCAGTTCCCATCGACAGGGAAAGTGACCAGAACAGATATACACTTGTCCTTGAATATGCTAAAGCTTAGCCATTTTGCAATTGCATGGAAGTAACAATAAATGCCATGGTTATTCAGTAGCTTCAAGTCTCAAAGAGGTGCAAATCTTAGGTAGCAGGGCATACATGGCCATGGCCATTTTTTCTGTTCCCACACTGGACGTGAGCTTAAAACTAAGAGCAAAATAGGACCTGGGAATTTGTATTTGCATTGCCCTCATTAAATTATTTGTTGTGTACTTAGAAATACCCTCAGCTCAGCTGTAGGTTTTTTTTTCCCTTGTGTTTATAAAATATACTAATCCTGTGGAATTGTCTTACTAAAATTCTGGAAATAGGAACCAGCTTAAGTTATACTTTGCTACAATCCAGCCATAAAGGAACCACTGATATACATGCTCTTAATTTGGGTAAAAAACCACAGTAATTTCGCAATGTAAACTTAGGCATCCAGAGCAACAATTCATTTATATAGTTCAAGAACAATTAAAGATGTAGTAGCATATGAATTTAGAAGCTGCTGAATTCATATAGATCCTACTAGTGTCTCAGAGAAGAATGCATGCATAGAGACTGGTAGTCCTTATTTAGTTCCTTCTTTGCTTGAAGTTTTTAGTGTGGATTACAATGATGAACTTGATATCCTGGTCAGTGGCTCTGCAGACTTCACTGTGAAAGTGTGGGCCTTATCAACAGGAACGTGCCTGAATACCCTTACTGGACACACAGAATGGGTCACTAAGGTGGGAATATTGATTTATAATTAATCTCACACATTTATTTCCACTAAATTTGTAACATGTTCTAAATTTTTATATCCTAATCCTGCATGTAGGTTTAGAATCTGAAGAACATCTGGAAATACTACCAAATAACATTTCAACAGAAAAAAAATTTAAGCTGTAATTAAACCTTTCAGACCATTGAAGGTATTTCAATTCCAAAGCAGCTGGGCTAATACTAGGAAGCAGTGTTTTGATTCAAAGATTGAATATAAACTGGTTCTGAAAGAAGAACGTCTTTAAAAGTTATGTAAAAAATCGGATGATCTTGATAACAAAAATGTGATCATGAAACAATATTTTTCCTCTGGTTATTTCAGAACTTGAAAGATGAGGGGTGTGACTGTACAGGTGAAGTATGTATGTTTGCTTATTAGTACAGTAAACTATCACTAGTAGGAGCAAGAGGAGTGTAAACTGTAGTTTTCCTTCAGTAGCTAAAAAGCATTTGTACTGCCTTTATTCATGGGTATACACTATGCAGGTGGTCAGTGAAATGAAAAATGCAAATGAAAATTTGTTTATTTAGCAGCATCAACATAAATCATTACTATCCTTCAATTACAGGTAGTTTTACAGAAATGCAAAGTCAAATCTCTTATGCATAGTCCTGGGGATTATATTCTCCTAAGTGCAGATAAGTATGAAATAAAGGTATGTACCATATATCATGCATGTGTTATTTTGGTACATTGGGGAAAAAAAAGCTTGAGTGATTTGCTGTTTACAAACAATAGAAGGATTTAGTTTTTCCCCACATTTCCCGCTTTAGAGGCTGCGTGCAGACCATGAAACTCTTTGGAAGCTAATTTTTCAATGCTTGCCTTAGCATTTAGTTTTAAATTATAGCTCTACAACAACGGTAATGCAAAGAATCTGTGCTTCCAGGTCATGTCAGTGAAGCAGGTAAATGGAAATACTGTTACTGTTGGGGACTTAGGTGTTTGAAAGTACTGTAAGTTTGTGGCTATAGAAGTGCTTCATAACTGAAGCACTGTTACATTTCTGTCCCAGTTGGATGGTTGATTTGTTTTTTCTTTTTTCTTTTTTTTTTTTTTTCCCATTCTTTAAAGTAACCATTTTTCACTGGGAATTTTTTAGGCTAGAAACAACATGTGCTGCACCAATACTCTGAGATAAGTCACTTGAAGAATTGATGTTCGTACATGAAACAGATAAATATTTCTGAAAAAAACTCATGCACACATTTACCTGATGCTTAAAAAGAGACTGTGAGGCTTGCTCTATTTATGTAACCGTTTATAATGTGAATTTTTTATGGGTTATAATGTGAATTTTTTATGGTCTTAAACTGTGTTTTAATTGTAGATTTGGCCTATTGGAAGGGAAATAAACTGCAAATGCTTAAGAACACTGTCTGTTTCTGAAGACCGCAGCATCTCCCTACAGCCCAGGCTGCACTTTGATGGTAAATACATAGTGTGCAGTTCAGCACTAGGATTATACCAGTGGGACTTTGCCAGCTATGATATTCTCAGGTAAACTGTTCAGTTTAGGATTCAGTCTTCATTAAATAAAAAAGAAGTAATTTACCAGTTTTAATAACTTACCCTAAATGTGGACCAAAAGAATCTTGAATAAAATCCTGTAAACATTTTGCTTTACACATATCGAGTGGTTTAATTCTAATTTTGTCATCTGATAATATGAATCATTTCATTGCTGTTTTGGTTTCTGGCCACATGCTAGTTCTCTTCCATATTTTCATTCTGTAAGCTGAAGTGTTTCTGTATAGACTTATACCAGACTGCAATACTGTAGTTGTGAATGTGGAAATGTAGTGATGCAGAGCTAATGTTACCATGGAGACTGCTATACAGAGAACCAAGCAGGAATTTCTGGGGGTTCTTTGATGGGACAAGAAATTAAAAAGACTCTTTTTCCTTATAGCACTACTGATCTGTCACTCCTTCTAATGTTGTGGAATGACAGTGAAATCTTATCAGACTGCAATAAGTGACCAAACCTGATGGCATCCCATTTCCACATAAAGAATCAGGCTGTATGAACTGGAAATGGTGGCATCAAAGAGAGTAACTAACTAAAGAAAAAAAAGCATTTTAGAACTTCTAGCAGACTTCTTAATTCAAATCGCCTGAATAATTGTGGATATTTGAAAGATCTCCAGAAGTGCTTCTTATGAGTAAGATGTGAAATTACTCTGTTATTCTTAGTTTACCCTCCCATCTTTCAAAACAGAAAGATGGTCTCTTACTGCTGAGAGCAGATTTTCATCCCCACACATTTTTCTGCCTCAGTTCTTTATGTAATGGTATGATCAAACATGCAGGCAGTCGTGGAAGACTCAACTCTTCCGTTTGTGTTCCAAGTTTTATTTATTAAGGGGAGACATCATAAAGGTGTTGGGGAACTTAAAAATACTTTGATTTCTCCCCATGGTTAATTTAACATAAAACATCAGTATAACAGCACTCTAAGGACCAGTCTTGGATGATTTATCTGACCTGCTTATCACAAGAAGGCATGTCTATGTTTTACTTCCGCCTTTTACAGGAGTGATCAAAAGAATATTAACAGCTTTTACCTCTTAGTGTAAAGATATTGAGGCATGAAATCCATATGGAAATTTACTGTAAAACACAAGTATATTTGCTCTTTCATTTGTATGTGGAAATGGCTGGTTTTTGTTTTTTTTTCTTGTACTCTGCAGAATAATCCCTTTCAAACCTTAGCCTTCACTTATGTTCAGATGGGTCTGTCCTGAATGCATAAAGTCAGAAGTGAAACCACAGGCCTGACTGTGGCTAAGTGTTCAGTTGCTTATTTTGAAAGATGTGCATCCAGTTCTTTCTAAATTACTTCATAATGATTAATTTAGACACATTTTCTGTAGACACACAGCATTTGCTTTAGTAATTCAAGCTCATGACAACATTGTAAGGGAGATTCTAACACTGTTTTCTTGTCTTCTAGGGTTATCAAACCTCCAGACTTCTCAAATGTGTCATTGCTGGGCTTTGGAGAGATATTTGCTCTACTGTTTGACAACAGATACCTGTATATAATGGACTTGAGGACAGAAAAACTGATAAGCCGCTGGCCTTTACCAGAATATAGAAAGTCAAAGAGAGGTTCAAGCTTCTTGGCTGGTGAAATGTCTTGGTTAAATGGACTAAATGGCCAAAATGATACGGGCTTGGTTTTTGCCACCAGTATGCCAGACCATAGTATCCATTTGGTGTTATGGAAAGAACATGGCTGAAAAGCTCAGCATACAGAACCTTCAGGAATTTATGGCCTATCAGCAGTGTGTCCATAAAACGAGACTTTGCATGAACCAAAGTTGCACATCCAATGGTATCATCATCATGCAATGCACAATCATTTACTTTTATGTGGGCATTTGGGAATGGGTTGTTTTGGACATAATGCAATGCAGCATGCTAACAGTATTCACCACAAATTTTTGTCTATATTCATGTTTAAATATACCTATTTGGGCTCTGAAGTATAGCTTGTAATGTTTAAACCATTCAATCTACTACCAAGTCTGAAATCAAGTTGTGCTTGACCTGACTTCTGACCTTTTTTTTGTTGTTGAAACAGAAGGTGAAGCTACTGTTTCAACAACAGCTACTGAACCATAGGCTTTTGTACGTCTAACAGCAAATACTGGTTGCAGTGCATGGCTGCTTAACAAAAATGAGAAAACAGCAAACCCTCTCTCTCTCTCCAGAATCTTTCTCTTCAAAATGTTTTTCTATATGATAGCTTTAAATACTTAGCTTTTGAAACAGAAGAATCAAACAAGTCTTTTAACAAATATTTGTCCACATTTTTGTGCTATTTGACATGTACTTAAAAGTTGTATTTACATCACATGCTTTAGAAATGCTTTAGGTTGACCTACTTTCCTTCCTGCCTTCCCTCCCTCCCGCCTTAATGTCATTTTTCTTCACACAACTTGAAAACATGAGTTTTCATGAAAATTGGTTCATGCCCTTGAAAAGACAAAAGTGTCTAGCGTTACTAGTGGGATTTTTTTCTTCCCACTATTCAAGGAGACCTGATTTCATACTTAATACTGAATGAAGGCCACAATTCCCAAATGTATGTGGTATGAATTACACCAGTGAAGGAGAGTTCTCATATGCAAGAATCAGTATTTGAGGATGCTGTAGGAATTGCTTAAAGTCACAGTGGAACAGTCTCTTAAATACAAGTCCAGACTCCTAAGCAGTCAGTTTTTCCACCTTTACTCACATCAATTTACATTGAAAAATGTTGTCTGTTCTCAAGGATTTTATCAACCGGAAGCCAAATTCACAACTCTTAATTCAAGCTGCACTGTGTGGGGCATAAATGATGAGCTCACAAAAGTGAGCTTTTGTTATCTCACTCCTAAGTGAAGAAAGCTTCTGTGAGAAAGAATGTTTTCAGTAACTTAACTTCAATAATTTGTCTTGAAACCCAGTTCTCATCATTCTTACTGTGGGAGTAACATAACAGTATCATTATGACGTGTGCTTCTGAAGGAACCACCTATGCAGCACTGCGTTAACTTTGAAAGATTAAATTGAGGCGTGCCAGCCACAAATGTCCTTGTTTCCAAATCAGCAAATTAGAAAAACTTGGTTAACTACTTCTTTTAGTGACGTTGATTATACAGTGGTGGAGTGCAAGATGGCTGAGAAACAGACCTAAGCTGAGCCCTCTAGATGGGAAAGTGGTGGGCATGGGATGGGGAGGCACCGCTATTGTCTCCAGCTAACTAGTAAACTATAAAGAAAACTGTGTCAGACTGATTTTGGCATCTTGCAGCAAGACAATGGTCAATGGTTCTTGTGACAAGAGGAATTCTCCACAGTGAGTTTAGTTTAAGACCAAAACAGGTTGCCTAGCCTTCCTAGACAAAGCCCTGAGCAACTCCCTGTAAGCGGAGTTGGGACTTTCAGATGCCCCTTCTAAACAACGAGTCCGAAATTCTAAATGGACCTGTTGCCACACAAGATTGTAAGACTGATAGCAGCAGGCATCTCATATCCTAATACACCTGCCAGTTTGTTGATAAAGACTGGGAGATGCTGCAGTCACTGTGCATCGAAGTAAAAGTTCCCTTTGGACATTGCTAATGATACTATTCCACTAATAACACAGCTCTTTAAGGGCACAGGTATGTGCCACTACCAAGCAGATAAAGGAATGACAGCATGAAACAAACTAATGTAGAAATTTTAAAGAACATACTTGCTCTCATACACTTCTCTCTCTCTGACACCAGTGTCAGGCTATCGCTGCCTTCAGAAGTGCCTTCAGTAGGAAGGTATGAGTACATTGCCACAACACATGCAATGCATGTAGTTCTGGGGGCTTATCAAACAGAAACTGAAACTGTGAAACTGAAACTGTGAAACAGAAGTGAGCAAATGGCTTTTCTGTTTGCTTTGGTTTCCACCTAGCCCTTCAGCAAAAGTCACTACTTAGCACTATTTCCAGACAGAGGCTGGAAAAAAAATGCAGCTTCTATACCCTTACACCTACTAAGAAGTAATATAAATCAACTTACCTATCACATAAAGGACTAAAATCCAACTTGTGTCTAAATTTCATGTAACATTTTCTAATGAGGCTTCAAGGTGCCAGAAAAAAAAAACCAACAAAATATTACATTTCATAAAAGTTGTTTGGCCATCTATTTTTTCCTCCTTGAAATACGTTCTTTTTGGTTCATAAAAGTATCTTTTTCGTTAAGATGAATCTCTGTCCCTTTCCTCTATTAAAGATTTCCAACGCAACTCAGCACTTACCACTTTAGTAATTCAGAACAGGTGCAATCACTCTTCTCAAAATTACATGTCTCCAAAGCCCAGTAGAACAAGACATTTTTTATGAGCAAAACTCCAACTGCTGTGTTTGGTGTTACAATCCATCACATCTTTAACATACACTATTTCCAAGAATATAAGGGGTAGTTTTTTTACAACTGAAAGGAAAATTGTACTCAATTACTTGTCTACTTTTTACTCAAATTGATGCATACAAATTTAGTACCCAGTGACATACAAACTGCAAGAATTAAGCAATGCTACCTTTAATACTAGTGATTGTATTTGTACTTTCTGTACAAATACAGAAAGGTATTGCATTATTTGAATCACTTGACAAATACTGATTTTTATTATTAACTGAAAACAAACTGTACATTTCACAGAAGTGATACTGCAATCTGCATTGACCCTTGGTATCATTAAATGATTCATGGCTTTGCTAGATTCCCTAAATAACTGCAGAAAAATGTAGACTCCCTGTGAAAATCAATGTCATGTAATTTTTAAATTTTATCTGTCTTCCCACAATACAGGTAGCCCTCCACTTTCACTCCTTATAACTGAGTTTTCAATTTTGAGTTTGCAGCATGGTTTGAGATAGAACCTTGTTAACATTCATGATTAATGATGAGTTATATCTCCACAGTGTTGTGTCCCTGATGAGAGATTCTCTGGGAAGGTTTCCTTGAAGGGCCTTCCGACAGTGATAAATGAGGGCAACATCCATGGGAACATTCACACTCTTCCCATAAGCACGTAGGACAGAATGGACTGAAGTCTGAATCACCTTTCGTGGATCAACTATCATTTTCCTGGGATTGATTACATCTTTCCTATCAGGCTCTCTGTATACATGCTGTAATATGTTAACACCTGGCACAGTATTCCAAGATGAAATGTTGAACATGCGAGAAGATACAGTTTCTGGGAAGATATGGTTCTCAAAGAGGAAAACACTAGTCCCTGGGTTTTGCTCCTGAAGACTGTTCATCATTGTTTTCCAGTCTGGGTGCTTAAGGGGAAGAATTATTTCATCAGCATCATTAAGGACCACAAACTTGCTCTTTTCCATGTTACGGTATATACAGTCATTTAGAGCCGTGATTTGTCCATAGTAGCCAATGTGTGTCCCGTCTTGCATGTAGCGCCAATCAGAAGAAACCCTGAGGTGTGAGTTTATTGGCCAGGGAATTACCTCAACAGTTCCTTCTTCTATATAAAACTTCAAGACTTTCTCCATCAGATGGCTGCAGTTGTTCTTATAGATCACCACTTTCTGTACTCCAAGAATCTTATACATTTCCATACTCTGTATAAACTGCAAGACATTGTTGTAGTTTCCAAACATGGCAGAAATGCACACAGTGAAGTCAACAGAAAAGGTCTCAGGCTTGCGATTTTTAATTTCAAACCTCGGCAGCTGGTCAATATTTCCATATGGAGACTGATGAATTGACACATGTGTTGGATCACAGTTTTTAGGTTCCAAACAAACTATATCTGTTGCACCATAAGGGAATCCAAATCTGTCTGAGTGAACATCAATTTTTGCTTTTGATACATATATCTTTCCATTGGCCTGACAGCAGAACCAGCAGTACAGTTGTTTTACATCTTCATGGTGAACAATCCCAATCAGACGAGTGACTTTGCTTTCTCTGTCATCAAAGTATGGGGATATAATAAAAGTTTTGTTACCTTCTAATGCTGTTATTGTGCTAATGGCAATTTTCCCTCTACATCTTCTACCTTCTTGAATTACTTTTGGCTGATGAGAAAGTCTCTGTAACTTCAGATAAGAAACTGCAAGCATTGAAGTTACAGTCATAATGCACACAGCAGCAGCAAAGTAAGATTTTTTCCCAGCACACAACATTTTGAACGTGTCTAAATGTCGATGCAAATTTCGCTGTACTTTATGCTGCCTTATCTGCAGAAAAGAAAAGGCTGTATGAGATAATACTGACCCACAACCATTACTCAAGAATTTCACAAACAAGATGGGGGTAAGTCTCTATCATAGTGCACTGACTTACTCAGAGAGCCAGCCACTGTGTTTTTATAAAAAAACAGTCAGAGAACACGCATTTAATGAGATATATATATATATATATATATATATATATATGATATGTGACACTGAATGCCTCTATTTGTCAGATGTGTGGAGCAGTTCCTCTACATGGAGGGTTCTGTAGAAGAATATAACAGAGGTCTATATACAGCAATACAATTAGTATTTTTTTTTCAAGAAACCAAATTTTAGAATATCCAATTTAATAACTAGGCAGTAATTCTTAAAGCAAAGCAAAACTTTTCTTTTTTTCCACCTACACAGTATGTATGTAAATTATGTTTAAAAAAAACAAACTCAACCAGACTTCTCACAGACAAGAATTAATCAAGTTCATAATAAATATGCTAATTGGGGATTACACATGATGATCCCGATATAATCACTAATTTATGAACTCCCTAACTTTCAGATCACCACAGATGAGACCATACACACAGAGGAAAGTCAATTCATACAATCCAGCAAAGGCAGGTGAACTCAATACAGGTATAAAACTCAAGTTTGCCACTCTACCCTACGTAACCCTGTACGAGGCAGGAGCTGCAGGAAAGGTCATCTCAATACTTACTAGAGATCTGGGCCTTTTCACACTGGATCAATGCTGTCTCAGCTCCTGGCATGATTTGGGGGTGAGGGCTTAAAACTCTTGCTGCTGCAGGCACAGGTAGGCAGTCCTGAGTGACTGGATAACTGAAGTCTTCAGCAGCATTTGTGCTAGCAAGTGCTAATGCCTCAGTGGGAGTTTATGGCACTCTCAAGCACTATTTCTGCAAGTGGACCCTAGATAAAAGTTCTCTACAAACTCATCTTTAGGTACTCAGATATGATCCATAAACAGAAAAGTGACAGCAAGTCTCCTCAAAGGCCTGCTTGTACCACAGAGATTCTTGGGAAAAAAAGGTGTCCCAGATTAATTAAATTCATGTCAGATCAGAAAACTGCATTGGTAGAAGAGAGTCTCCCCAGGTGCCAGCAGGAAGTGTGGAGTAAAATGCCAGGATGGAATGAACTGATGCTATTGCATAAGACGACAAAAATGTCTCTAGCAGGCAAAAAAGAACTGCCTGTGCCCTCAAAATAATGTACCACATTTTCACAATTGCTATTTCATGAAAAAGTGAACTAGGAAGAACCACAGTCCTGAAAATGTCCCATATGCCAAGGCTGAAGTGATTTACAGCAGCCTTTGATAGCTACCAAGAAATTGCTTTTTGGAAGAGAATAGTCATAGAGGCACTGAAAATCTCACTACATCACACCAGGCACTAAGCAGAAAAGAAACAGCAGAAAGCACTGACACTTCTATCTCTGAAATGGAGATAGTATCCCCATAAAGCCTTAAAATTGACAGCAGAACAGCAAATACATACTAAGAATCTGCTATTGCCATACGACTTCCAGCTGGAGATTTGTGACTGAAAACAACTCAAACATTTTAAGTCTTTTTATGATACATTCTGAAGTACACGTTTCCCCCAAGCATTCTTATTCCAAGGTTGTTATATATTTTAGTGTTTTTACAAAGAGAAGGTCACATTTAACATTCTTCCCCTTGGTTTCATCTATTTATGACTTAAAATATTGATCTATCTTACAGAATAAGTATTTTTTAATTAAAGAAATATCAAAACACGTCAACAGTAAATAACAAAATAAATGTATTACCTGTTCTTCCTTCTCCTTTTTCTAGCAATAAATAACTAACAAGAAAAAAAATATAACTTTTCAATTGCATTTTGAACAGCGAACACGGGAAAGGAAAAAGTACCTTTTATAGTAGATAGCAGAGTGGGGCTCTGTTTAGTCCTCCCTTCATTTTTTTGCTAAGTTATTTTGCTAAAATAATCTACTAATTGTTTATTTTAAACAGATAAAAACTTAAATACTTTTAAGGTAAATTGCAGTAATTGTTCAATACAGAACAATACTGTGAGGAGAAAAACTGGTACAATACCTAAGATACTTCCTGGCACATTTTATTTCACATAGCTATTGCTCTTTTAATGTCAGTAACAGCCACACCTACCAGAAAAACAAGTTTTCCTTCTCTTGAGCAAAGTACACACAGTTGTGTTGCAAGAACTTAATGCAAGTTACAAATGAGTATGGAGTTGTTGAAGAAAATCAAACATTTTTCATGGATTTTTTAAGGCTACTTAAGTTTTCTTCTGAAAATTAATCTCACATTTTGATATAAACCCAGTTCACACACATACTTTAAAAAAACTAGAAAAACAGACTATATATATATCTGCATTTCTTGGACAAATATTTTTTTCGTAACATGTTATAAGGCCTAGTTAGAACATGTAGATACAAATTCTGATTAGGAACTGTGACAGTGCTGAAACAACAGCGAGTTCTAGAAGCTAAGACAAAGAGCAAAATCAAGAGCTCAAAGACACATCAGAGCACTGACTCTTAAAGAAAAGAAATACGTAGTTATTTGATGAATGAAATTCATGGTTTCCTCAACACAACTCATTAATTTTGCTCTCCTGAAATAAACAGCACAAATATGCAGTCATAAAATACATGAAATCAGTGTAATTAAGAACATTACATTTATATTTCCTCACTCTAGAAAGGGTAAAATGGCAAGTTTTAACTTTAAAAGTATGCTTTCAGTATATTTAAATGCTCTTCGTTTATAGTAACAATTAATTTAGATTTTGCATTTTTTAATTCCAATTACTATACAAGTAAGCATGACAAATTATGCAGATTTGCTTTAATACTAAATTTACCTAATGGTATCAATGGCTTCTTTGCAGCATTCCACTTAACTGTAAACAGACTTTCTTCCGCCCCACCACCCTGCAGTAGTATTTATTACCTCCTCATCTTCATATTCATTACCTTTTCATTCAACAAAATTGTTGGCTTGGGTTGGACAGGACTTAAAAATATCTAGTCCCAATCCCCTTGCTGTAGGTGAAATCTTTCACTAGATTGATGCCCAAATTCATCATGCTTCTCCTTATTTTGTTGGTCACAGTCCTGCTAAAATTTACTCTTCTAAAACCTTGCATGGGATCAAGAACACACTTTAAAACTTTCATATATTTAAATCATCTTTATTTCCCCATCCTAAACCAAGCAATCACTCATGCTCTAGCCACACTGTACCACTATGCTCACAACACGTTTATTAATCTCCCATTACAGGTTCTTCCAATAGCTTGTCTTTTTAGAATTTTGAAATTTTTTTTTTTTTTGTATCGCCTTCAAATTGCATGTTGCCATTACCTTTGCTGTCCAACTTCTATTTTCAGATCTTCTTTTCCAACATCTTTCTAAAACCCTCACAACTAGCACTGTCCTTACTGAAAGCTGGTACCAATTGCTAATTTAGTTCAAAAATAATTTCTGAGAAATAATTAATCTCCCTCACATGCTCTATGCATTATGGCCTTCCTTTGTAATTTGTTTTGTTCACAGGGAGAAGGCTGACAACTATTTATGCTGCTCATTTCAATATCTTGACAATGTCTACATTGTATTAAGTTTTTCATAACTCTCATCTTATTACTTTATCTCCCAGTCTAGGGTAAGGATAGAGGGCAAGTGACAAGAGGTGACTGCAGAGTTTGAGTTGTTAATATGAAGTATTAGCTTTAGCAGTACAAGAACAATAAACAACAATCCGGGGTCCAATTAAAAATCCCCCACCAGAAAAACAGGCTTACAAAACTTACCATTTTTGAAAAAATGTTATTCGCTGTCCTTTAGTTTATGATTTTTGTCAAAGGCAAAACCACAGATCACTGTGTTATTAACACAGTGTTAATATTAACAAATATGAACAATAATTTACCATCTTTATCTCAACTGCCTGTTGTTAATCTTTTGATAGCTTACTTTTTCAGAAAGGTTCTTTGACACACCAGGTGTCCTTCCTCTTTTATAAGATCCAAAGTCCGAAGCATATTGTTTGAAGGATTAAACTGAAGGCAGTATTTTTCCACTAATAAAATACTACTCTAAAAAAATTAGTGTCTATTTTTATTCTAAATACAAAGACAGTAAACCAGAACAATATTCAGTGTTGCCATACAACTGTCAATATACGGTTGTTTTACTTATTTTGTGCCATTAGAACCGACAAACCCCACACTTCCTGTATACACTCAGGAACTTCTCCATTATAATCTGCTGTACATCCGTAAGCCAAACTCCTCCTATTGTAAACATTTAAACTTTATGTCCTTTGAAAATCAAACAGATTGGGCAAAACAAAAACTGCATGACATTTAAAAGACTTATTTCAAATTTTTTCTTTCACACTCTACTTTTTTAGCTGGGGCAGAGTTAATTTTCTTCCTAGTAGCTAGCAGGGTGCTGTGTTTTGTGACCAAAGCAAGTGCTTCAAACACACTGATGTTCAGCTATCACTGAACAGTACTTACGCAGAGTCAAGGCCATCTCTGCTTCTCCTGTGGCTCCTGTCCCAGGAGTTGGGTGGCACAAGAAGTTTGCATGGAACACAGCTGGGACTTCTGAACCAACCAACCAAAGGCCTATTCCACAGCGTATGATGCCATGCTCCACCATCTAAGCTGGGGAAAGAAGGAGAAAGGGGGAAACACACGACATGACGGCATAGGGCTTCCCGAGTCACTGCTAAACCGGATGAAGTCCTGCTTTCCTGGAAATGGCTAGAAACGTGCCTGCTAAGAGGACACAATGGAGAGATTACACATTCTGTTTTACATGCTGCTTTGCTTTACCCTTTACCCTGTCTTTATCTCAGGGGAAACCCACAGGATTTCCCACGTCTGCCTTTCTGATTCTATCCCCATCCCACTGCAAGGGAAGGGTGAGCCTTGAGCTGCGTGCCCAGATTAAGTCACAACACACACTATGCTTTGGAGGAGTTTTGTATTCTTCAAATCTAAAGTTAACCTCCACCCTTAGTACGAATTCAGACAGAGACTCAGAAAATCTGGTTTGGACAATTAATAGGTACCTTTAACTTACCGTTAAGCGGTTAACTCCACTAGTGAAAAATAATGCTACAGCTGATCACCATCCTCCTATTTCTTGAGTGGAAATAAAATCCCGAATCTGTCGCGCCTCTCCCGCGAGCGCTGCCAGTCAAAGGGCGCCGAGCAGGCGCCGCTGCCTGACCTGCACTAGGGCGCCGGCAGGTTCACCGCGCTCGCACAGAGCCGGCAGCGCGCCCGCTTCCCGTCCGGCGGGACCGCCCTTCCCCGCGCGGGGCGTGGGCAGAGGCGCCGCGGAGCCCCGTCGCGAAAGCCGTGCGGAGCTGGCCCGGCGCTGCTGGAGCCCTCGCGTCTCGTACCTGGCTCCCTCCGCGGTACCGACAGCAGCAACCGCAACACGCCTCTGCGGCCCGGGGCTGGCGGGAGCGCTCCGTCCCCTCACCTCTCGCTCCGGAAGGCGGCGGCGGCTGTGGCCGCGGAGACCCCTCGTCCCCCGCCCCGGCCGTACCTCAAGTAGAGCCCCCGCCCGGCGTTCGCCCTTGGGGCGGCTGCTCGTCGCTTCGAACCGCGGTGGCGCCTCCGCGGCTTGCTGTGCACGGCGAGCGGCTCCGGCGGCTCCAGGGGTCTCGTTCGGCGAGCGACGTGGAGTCGGCCTCGGACGGACGGACCCCCAGCGGGGCGGGGGCGGCCTTCCCCACCACGCCCTTGGCCTCTCCCGCCGCTCTCCCAGGTTCCCTGAGGCATTGGTGAAGGAGGCCCCATGTAAGACTGCGAATGGGGCAGCGCGGCGGCCCCTGGACGCTAACGGGCGTCAGCTGCGGGGCCGTCGGTCCGTGCCGGCGGCGCATTTTGGCGAGCAGAGCCTGCCCATCCCGGCCGCAGATCCGGACGCCAACGGCTCCGGAGCGCTGATTACTCAGGTCCACGTGCTGTGCCCCGGGAGGAACGCTCCCACACACCACATCCTGGAAATGAACGGCATAGACGGCACAAGTGCAAAAGAAGAACATCAGCAGTTGGTGCACTCTTCTCGAGGAGGTCTCCGGATTCGACCCCGACGCCTGTCAAATGAACTTGTGTAAAATGGAGAAACACAAACTAGCCATTATATTTTCAAAATGCACGTCAATTTTTAAAAAGTACAGGGAAATTGATAATTACACAATGATAAAAATCCAGTAGCTTACTGGAGTCCTGTCTGCTTTTAGAAATAGATGTGCCAGCTAAATCATTTCTACAATAAAATACAAGGTTGGCATTCCTAGGAGTTCTGTGGTGGGATTTTCTTTTCTAGTGCCAAAGGCCATAAGGCCACAGACCTTTGTTCCAGTTATAGAGATCTCACACATAGAGTGTCTTTATTTCTGGGGAGAACACAGGAATAAAATGCTTATTACAATGAAATGCTTTAAATTTCATTATTACATTTAAAATTGTAGCATACCCAACACAGCTCTCTTTCAGAGCCAAAGCTGTGTATCTCCCAATGGATGTATCCTTGATGAGAGGTATGTCACACCAGTTTCCTGCAAAGACATGTAAACGGTGCTATTAGGCGCTTCCCAACCCATCTGCAAATACCTGTAGAAAACAGCAGACTGAAGCCTCAACCACGCTATGCGGACCAAATAATTTTTTCCAATTTGAAAGAATAGCTTTCCTGGATACATTGATCCAGTTCACAACAGGTTCACATCCTTCCTACCAAGGGCTTGAGACCTGGATGAAGCACTCCACGTGGGGTCTCACAAGAGCTGAGTGGAGCGAGGGGCAGAATCACCTCTGTCACCTGCTGCCCACACTGCTTTTGATGCAGCCCAGGACACGGCTGGCTTCTGAGCTGCCAGCACACATGGCCAGGACATGTCCAGCACCCCCAAGTCCTTCTCACCAGAGTTTCTCTTGATCTTTTCATTAGAATTATGTCAGCCCAAGCCACTCATCAAGCTTGTCCAGACCCCAGTCTTCAGGTGTGGCAACTGTATCACTCAGTTTGGTGTCATCTGCAAACCTGCTGTGTTAAATTTAAAGTGCAAAGAAATTTAAGTTTGTCTCTACTTCTTTGGACTTTCAAAATTCACTTGAAAAAGCTGAAAATTTGGAGGCTTTTTCAATTTTATCCTAGAAAGATTGATTCTGTTGTTTTATACTACTAAATGGCTAGACTCTGTGCTCCATAAAGTCTGTTCAATTATATTACCATTCATTCACAAATAAAACATGCAATGCTGCCTTTGAGCTAAAACATTCCTTCTGTACCTCTACTATTCTTTTTCAGAGTATTTTATTGTCAACAGCATACATACCCTGCACATTTTTAAACTTACCACCAAATGCTATTACTGTTGTAGTAAACAAACTTTTTTTACATTAAAGTATTTAATTAGCAAAACAATCATTATTATCAATGTAACAAACTGAAAAATGCAGCAACTCGATACAAGACTGAGGTAACAAAATACTTTGCCAAAAACCTAGATTCCAACACCAGAGTTCTTACAGGTGAGACAGTTCACAAGAATTATAGAAAGAATCCTTTACACAAATGGCATGCAGTGGACTGCTGGAAAACACAGCCAAAAATAGTGCAACAGTTTCCACACAAAACAAACCAAAATTTTGAAATTGATTAACATTATAGTGTGACAAATCAGTCTCACTTTGAAAACTAGTTTCTTTGCCTCATTTTAGTGCTATTTGGAAAAACATGCATTTTGGCACTGAATTACATAAAAATTAATTAAATAAATAAATAAAAATAAATAACGGATAATTAAATAATAAAAATTAAAAATTAATCAGATTAATTAAATAATACATTAAATAAAACTAATAATATCACCTACAGTTATTATATCTTCACAATTCTAAAAATGGCAATTATGATATAATGTTTACTTTTACATAACTATTGTAGTTGTTCTCTTTGATGGAGGAAAACTTGTACGGCTTGTGATTTTTTTTTTTTGTGGATGTGCTGTAACAATCAGTAGTGACAGGCAACCTATTGTATTTCAATAGCAGCTTTCAATTAACCATAGAACTACCTGGTAATAGCAAATGGTACCAAATGGCATCATTACACCTCTAATCAGCAGCTACAAACTATTTAATACTTAAAGACCAATTTAAAATTGGTTTAAGATGTTTTACTAGTATTCTTTCACTGCCATCAATCCGAATTTCTCAATACTCTGCAGCAATTTCACAATTGTGCTATACGGAAAATATGTTTAATTTCATTGATGACTAATCACAAAAATCCACAGGTGCAGAATAATGCAGCTATATCATAGCCTAACAGTCTGAAGTCATTCACTGCCGATAGGATGTTACCACATTCAAAAGCTTCTACACCATCTCTAATGGCGTTCGATGCTCTGCCCTTGCAGATAACCATGTTTTTTCTAGTTCCAAGTTAAGTTAGCAAAGAAAGAGAAAAACGATACAAATATATATTTTAATTACCACTCTTTTCACACAGTTCCTCAGTTATCAAACAAATTTTATCAACTTTACATACACTTTCTCATGTCCCAGGATCTAAATGCAATTGTCGTCAGGAACTGTTTTTCTTGAAAACCTGGTATGTATTAGGCTTTCAGGATTGTAACATGAACTCTTAAAAGAACAATAAATTTACTTTTGACCTACATTTAACAATACAGTTGGTTTTTTCTCCTTAAGTTTCAAAATTAAAACATAAAAAATCATGGAAGCCCACGGAATACATACTGCTGATGCCAGGGAGCTTGTTCTAGTAGAGGTTCTGTTCACTTAAACTGACTTTCATGGTGTTCCTGGTTTGTAAGTTAGGGGCTGGCTTGCTAATTTCTCCTCTACGCAATCTTAGGAAAGTCAGAAGAGGTTCTCTGGTGATTGATGAAGTCTGAATAATGATGCTATATGGCAAGAGAGTTTCAAAAAGAAGAAGTGATGAATTTAACAAATGAACAGAAAACGATTCTGACTGCAGGAGTGCCAGGGTACAGCAGGAATACAGCACAGAGAGAGCTCCTTCAGAGAAGACCCAGTTACATTTCTTTTGTTTGTTCGTTTATTCTCTGGATATAGATGTGGAGACTTCTTTGTACTTGCTCCACTGTTAAGACAGTCTTTCCCTGCCACCACGATTTTATAATAGCAGTACCATCGACCAGTACTAATGTCCTGAAGTCACAACACATACTGGAATTAAGTGGAGCCAAGTCATCCACAGAAGGACAGAACAGAAACAATGATATGGAGTCATTCTGAGGAGCCAGGACCATGTGATATAAAACACATGATTACCTGCTTCCCTGTGCTAAGAGATTTGAAATGAACAACCAAACACCAAATTTATAAGCAACTATGCCACTGGTAAAAGAATGAAAGACAAACTTCAGCACAACATAAATTTAAACAGCCTTAAATCTATTACCAGTGTATTCCTGAGCAAAATAACTGAATGAAAAAGAAAACCAACTGTCCTATGCCAAAACACTTTTTTCCCAAATAGCTCAAATATGAACAGCATATTGTCCAGAGATTTGATAGAAAATTTGAGGCAGCCACATTGCTAAGCAACTCAGTGCACTTAGATTATAAAAATGTTGTTCCACAATTTTCTATTCTAATTGACACTTTGGAGCAAGTTAACACTGTCAATCATTCTGTGCATTAGAAAGAATTGAAACCCAACATGGGCCAAATATTCTTCAGTCACACAAAGCAGCTTAACAATAAAAAGAACCATTTGAAAAAGAACAGGCAGAAGATATAATGCTCAGTTTGCGGCCAAACACCATTTCATGCAGTCTCTGACCACAAATAGTTGAGGGCTCTAGAATCCTGCAGGAGTCAGGATTAATCTTCTGTCCTTCTAACTTGTCTGCTTTCACTCAATGCATGAGACTTTATCTGGTCCTAGGGATAACATTCACTTTCTGCTTTTAAAAGCTGTGTCAAAATCACTTTCAAGTTACATAGGAAAGTGCTGAAATATCTGTGGCTGGCTCATGTCAGGAAAACCATTCTCCTCTTCCTCCTTAGAGAACAATAACCTGTTTCTTCAGTTTGGCACTTGAAGTCACACCAGGTAGGAGAGGAAATTATTCGAATGACATTAGATTAGCAGGTACCTGGAAGAGATTGTAAATTACTCATAGAATCATTACATTAGGGAAAGATCTCTAAGATCATTGAGTCCATCCCAGTATGTTTGCTTTCATTTTCCATGCAACAGTCCCTTCTAAAGAAGAGATGAGGTTATCTTGCTTGAAGCAACTGAGAGTAGAGGTTATATGCTCTTAAGGTAACCAACCAAGCTAGACCTGCACAAAACCTGATTTGATGGGAATTCTCTAATTTTAAATAATCTTTCTTTCTCCTATTGAAAAATTGGATCAGTGTACAAAATGAGGAATTATGTCTGTCCTGACAGGAATGCGTATGCACACAGATTGAAAGAGCTTTCCTAGTAAGGATTCTCTGGAATATAGGAAAAAGAAATAGGTAGAAATAGTTTTCATAACCTTACCTGAGGCTTGTTGCTTTTGCAGGCATCATCCAGATGTTTATGCCATAATATTGCATGAAACCTTGAACCAGTCTGAAACTTGTAAACATTGCCTACAAAAACAAGAAAATGAAAGACTTAGAATTTGCAGACAGACATGTAGTTTCAAAGGACTCTGATTTCTGTGCAGAAGCCAAAGTCCTGAAGTAAACTCTTACAGTAATTTGCACCTCAAATGCTCAAACGTGATGCTGCTAATATAACAGAGCCCACGTGAGGCATCTTCCCCAGCAGTTCTTGGGTGAAGCAAGTATGAGAACGTATGTGGCCTCATAGGCACAAAGGCTGAATTACAGCCACAGAAAAGACCATGTAGGTCGGTGTGCGGCAAGAAAACAAAGAACACTTAGTAATAAGAGAACAAAGCCCGCTTGGTTAAGAAGAACCAGAACTACTCAGTCAAGGCAGGACAGATGTAACAAAGTTTCTAAAATGTAACAGACAGCAGAACCTCAGTAGTTGGCAGAAAAAAAACTGTTATATAAGCACTGGATTTAAAGAAAAAAGGCTGACGTGAATACTAGGAATGCGATCCCTTATATTATTGGTTAGCAGACGCATGAACAGTTACAGTATTGGCTGTGTGTGATATTCTAATCTGATACTGAAAATATTATAAAGCTATATACACTTTTAATAAATGTTTCTGGTTATACCACAACTGGGGACTGTGCATCATTCATACGCCGCAGGTCAGATCTAATTTAATCCTGGCTTTCTTCTCATCAAGGCTTCTGTAAACTTAGTTTTCTTCAATGTCCTACTGCAAATTGTTTCCTGCAATCAAATATTTTGTGCATTTTAGTTAACACCCAGATGATGCACTTCACAGAGTAGATGGGGCTCCATATCCAGCACCAAAGCTGAAAACATGGAAACTGAAGAAAGCCTCAAGAACCTGTAAGCAGCCACTCAAAGTGCAAAATAACTCCAGGAGTTTTCTTATCTTTTGAAGTTTTTGAAGTTTAATCAAGGGAAATGAGTTATGGCATTGCAAAATTAATTATTAAAAGGTGATAATTACTTAGCAGACTTATTTTGGTAAATGGTTTAATATTTTAATTGGCCTCAGTGTAAGTCAAGATTTGATACTGACTGATTTTAAGGAAGCTATTCAGAGACTTGGAGATCAATGTATGGAGATACATGGATGTGCTGCAATCTCATATAAGCTGAGGAATTTCTGCAAAACTTACAGTAACTGTCAAAAGAAAGGAATCTCTGCAGGCAGCACAGAAGCACCACAGCATATTGTAGAAATACGTTCCATTTAATTTGTACCTTCCCTGGAAAATTCTGTATTGAAGAGCTCCCTCTTCAGTATTTATGAGTGCCACTGCAAGTTCTGTAATCTACAAGCTCATTAACACATATTAATCTACCTCCTGTCACAGAAATGTAATGGAGACATTGTCCATCTTGCAATATCTACCTTTGTCAGGGTTATTTAGCTGGAAAGTACCAGGATGCTCTGGGTCATCAGGCAGTGCCACCATCCAGCCTACAATGGAGACTTTTTTCCCAGGTGTGGATTTATACTGGAAAAGACAGACAAATCAGTCGTAGCTGAGACTGTAGCAGAGATTAACTTTTGACTGTAGAAGTTGTGCAGAAATATGGCTTAGCCTGGAACAGAAAGTACACTTTGGATGCCCTTCCAGATCTAGTTATGAGTATTCAATCTTTGGTTTTAGAATAAATTTAAAACTTACATGTTTTCTTTCAGTGCCTCTTAAAGCTTTTGCTCCGAAGTACAAAAGAGTTGATCCTGAAAGCATGACCCAGTATCTAGTCCATGAGGAGAGCTGAATGAAAGAGGAAAAGAATTAGGAAAAACTCTGCATACCTCTGACATTTCAAAAATTTATTCACAGGCAAGTCCAAGTGCTACCAAAGTTAATTTCAGAAGCAAAGAATGGAGATAAAGAGTGTCTCCTGGTGTAAATCAGCCCAGATACCTAAAGCTTGATGGCTGGCTGTGAATACAATCATTCTTTGTTGGGTATCTCATGGAAGTACCAGTACTGCTTGTTTAGAGAAGAACAGTGTGCAGCCTTCTGCTGAACAGATCTTAGGCTTTTGATTTTTTAAAAAAATATTGAGTTGACAACTCTGCAATTCTTCAAATCTTTTAGCTCTGTACTAAATCTTTAGAACTGTACTGGGTTGCATGAGAAATACATCAATCAACTCTACAGAAAACAAATAAATTACCAAATGCATAGGACTAAAACCATGTGAAACCCTTGAATTCAAGTTAACTATTAATTGCCATGACTTTGGTGCTATGGGTGACTGACCTGCAGCCTTTCCATTTTAAGGTGATATCTTAAAACCACCAAAATATATTGTAGAAATATGATCAATTGAATTTGTACCCTCCCATGAAAATTCTGTATTGAAGAGCTCCCTCTTCAGTATTTATGAGTGCCACTGCAAGTTCTGTAATCTACAAACTCATTAATAGATATTAATCTACTTCCTGTCACAGAAATGTAATGCAGACATTGTAGTATCTGCCTTTGTCAGGGTTATTTAGCTGGAAAGTACCAGGATGCTCTGGGTCATCAGGCAGTGCTGTGAGATTTATTTCTGCCCTCACAACACTGCTTGCTGGTTACACAATTGCTTCACTCCTGCTCTGCTGTCACAGTTAGAAACTTGACCTGCAAACTGCTGTATATCAAATGACAGACAAAGGTTGCAACCTTGTTACAGCCTGGTTATAACTTTGATCAGAAAGTTACAATTGATAAAACCATTGTTTTGTGTGGTATCAAGCTGCAGGTTCAATATAATTTTGAAAATTAAACCAGCCACTAATGAATTAGGACCATAGGAATAATTACAATTAGAATCACTTACAGTAGGTTTCTTGCCTTCTTTGAGCAGCGTTTTTCTTCTTAAAGGCCCTTCCATGGTAATGACTCCTGTAGAACCACCTGCTGTGCAGCTGCATGCACCTGTTGGGCTGGAGAGACAAAGCATTCCTCTATTTGAGCAGATGAATAAGGATGATAAGTAAGCAATATAATTTAGCCCTAAATATATCTTATCCTGCACTGCTTTATGTATATTGTATAAACTGAAATGTGACTCTAGAATATGTGTTTTCATCATCTAGCTATCAAATAGGAACCAAGGTCTTTCAAAAAGGTTTTATTCTGGGGGCTTAGACATGAAAAAATAAAACAGAATAAATGCTGAAACCCAAAGTCAAAGTGAAAACAGGCAATTTTCTTTTTTTATTCTGGTAAATTACAGCAATTACCTGAATTTCTGGAAATTTTTGGCTTACAATTGTACAAGAGCTCTTTTTTACAAGAGCTCCCACAAATGATATTTTAAATTAAATGAAAATATCTTGCCTAATTGGAAAAGAGTTGGGAAAACTATGTTAAAAATAAATTAAATAATTATTAATAATTATTAAAAGTAAGTTCAATCATTTATTTACAGATATTAGAACAGTTTTTCCTTTTCCAGGATGAACATAAAACATACCACATACAAGAGTGAGAAAGAGATACAACTGACAGAACCCAAGTGTAAGCAAAGTTAGAAATGCAAGCAGCCATTAATAACACCACAACCCAATATTGATTGGTAGGTTATCTGCTGCTAACATCTCTTCATTGCCACATGCTCACAACCCTGATGTTCTTATGTGGACCAACAGGGTTTAGCAGCGCCAACTGAATCATGTCTGATAACGAAGACAAGGAAAAGGATGTGTACAATCTACCTCACAGCTGTGAAAGGAACACTATTCTGTCCACAAATGAATCTGAACTCATGCTGGTGCCAAGTGATATGCACAACCACGTCTAGGGAAGGACAGCCCTTCCAACTGCCAGGTGCATCTTCTTCCACTGCATGCACCTGCCTGGCCTCTGCTAATGTGCGTTCTTGCCAAGTCTATATTTGACAGAGGTAGTAGAAGGTTTCAGAAAAGGAAGAACGACCACAAGCATTAGATGTACTTGGCGGTGGATAAATGTAATAAACGTATTTTAGGGAATAACTCTTCTTTGTGGATTTAAAAGGCTTTCCACATTTTAATCTTTGTACATTTTATATTTCTAGCTTTTGTATGTTTTTGCAACAGGTCTACCACGGTCATGTTAAGAAAGTATTTTCCAGGAGCAGCTGCAATACCTGAAATACTGTTCCAAAATGTATTTCTTTATGAATTTATAAAGTATGTATTTTTATTTTTGTCTAATCTCTAACTTGTACTCTTACCAGATGTTACTGGCATAAGTAAGGCAGCTGTAATTTATATATTATATCGATACTTCTACAATGGCTGAAGCAAACTAATTTAAACAAAATAAAATCTGACTGGATTTAAACTGCAACTAAATCACAGTATTTGCAGAATACTGATTCAGGGCCCTATTTTCTTAACTGTTTGAACATATGTCTTCATTTGCCAGCATCACAGAATTTATCAAGTTCAGGCGAGGTATACATGGAAGGAATGACTTTTATCCCTCAAACTAGATAAAATTCTGTGTCACCTCTCTTAGGCCTGCAAATGGATTACCTGCTTCTAGAAAGTCCACTTCTTAGTGACTAGCAACATTGTGAGCACCTACATATGGCTTGTGGATGTTCCCTCTCTTACTTGAGGTCCAAGGTCATACCCTTTTACTGAACAAAATCAACACACCACACAGACATGGACAGATATTATGGGTAGCTGTCTGGTAAATCAGGAAACAGATTGTGGGAAAGGGTCAAGAAGGCATCCTTCTAACATCATCACTTGTAACAGGAGTCAAAGACGGCCTTCATGACAAACCTGCTTCCATAAAGGTTTTATAAAACCCTACGTAAAGCCTAGTTTTCTGCAAAACAGAAGCCAGACATCATTAGTTAAATCAATAGCTAAACTGAATTTCATCTGAATGGGCCATAACCCTGCCTTACCATTAACAGGAATTCTTACAAGCAGGAGGGGGAGACTTCGTAAATTGTTATGGTCATACAAGGATATTTGGACACAAAATACATTACATTAAGGAAAGCATAAAGACCCAAATTGAAGTTTAGCACCATACAATGAAAGAAGCAGACCCTGAACTGTACCTGTAGACACAGCTTCGACTCCGAGGAGAATTCCTGATTGGTACCCTCCAGTTAGGTCCCAGCGTGGCATATAAACGACCCCTGTTTGTGAATGCAAATATCTGATAAGGGATATTCTAGTTTGAGACTTCAGCAGTTAAGGTTTGGTAAACATGACAGAGATAGTTCCCAATCTTTTCAGGTCCAACACCTTTACAGTGCTTTATTTCAAAATGTTTGCCATTTTTTTCCTAACTAATCAATAATTTGATAAAAATAACTAATTGATTTAGGGCTTACCTATGTTAGGGATCATTTGTGAATTTCTTAGCTAAGTCTGTAGAGTGCTCAGTGAGTGTACATGAAGACTAACTCACCTTTCAAGCCCTGACGGCAGCTCCTCACTAAATTCTGAGCTTTCACTGCTATCTAGAAAGAGAGTAGTACAGAGAAGGAGTAAGAAAACCACCCATGTGAAAATACAAAGCCAGTGTATGTGGATCACCAGAATACTCTTTTGTATAGTACCGTGGACACCACTTACTCAAATCATGTTTTTAAGAAGTATTTAGAGTTCATGGTAAAATCTTTAGTTGAAAGAGGCTTACATGAGCCTCTCCATTTATATTATCTCACTCTCAACTCATGTTATTGCTGTGTTTTAATACCATTACTTTAATTTTCATCATGCTTCTACTTCAGAAGCTGAGCACTTCACGTACATAAAATCCAGCTCCTTTGTAAGACAATATTTCTACCACAATATCCATAAGTCAATTGAAGTTATTAGATATGGTATCATGGTTTATTTTCAAGAAGCAAACACACCTCTAATAGATCTATCAGCTGTATGCTGCTGCTAGGAGTTAATAAAATATATATACATATATGATGGTATTCATAACTAAATTCCTATCTCTCCTTCAAGCCCATCACCTATCTGTCCCTCCTTTTTTGGCACAACTATTTAGCTCACAGTTTTAATTTGCCCAGGACTGATCTTCTAAGGCTCAGTTTTAATACAGTGAGCTGTTCCTCTGTTTTCAGAAGTGCAAAGATCATCTCAGTGTCCAACTCTTGGTCAAGAAATGTGCTATCTTTTACAGTCAATTGCTTATTCTAGAAATTGCCCAAGTCTCGTCAAAGGTGGCTTTCTCTTGCTTAGAACACAGATTCTTGATCACTTTTTTGATATTATAATAATTGCTTTATTATAATACCGTAATATGTTCATGTTACGTTTCTCTGTAAGTCTTAGAGAGTACTACCAAACAAATCCCCTACCTTCTAAAACATATATTCAAAATTAAAGCTTTCTGTGTGTAAAGGTAGCTTTTAAAATACATATCCACTTTCCCTCTGGTAAAAGCTGACAAACAATTTGTGTCACACACCGAGCATCTACAAAACCAAACTTCATGCCCCTTTACCAAAAGCATCAGTGGATAATCGAGGAAAGCTGACTATCCACTGGTTGACCAGGTAGCAGTTCTGATCTACTTTCATCCATGAAAACAACCAGTCTTTGCAAGGGAACTAATAATCTTCCTAATTCTCTGCCTTCAGACAGTGAGTGTGCAGCGCCCTGGGGACAGGAGCAGGGTGTCACTCCCAGGCAGGCGATACCTATGGAGAGGCCGTTGGCAAGGCGCGTGCTGGGCGCGTGGCCACGCGCGGGGCTGTGACCCTCCAGGACACTGTCGTCCAGCAGGTGCCGTGGCCGCTCCGTCGGGAAGGTGGCGCTTTTGCTCTCCACGACGCTCAACTGACACATCATACTGGAACATGGAAGAAGAGAAAAACATGAAACTCCTCTTATGTCATCTAACAGCAACCCTTGGCTCACATTATTTCCACTCAGCCTCTGCCTCATCAGCAGGTTATTAAGAAGCAGGCAATTATACGCTACCACGTACTGTACATATGCTCCTTTACTACCAAAATGAGTTTCAGATTTTACTTCTCTTTGTCAGTAACAATTACTAAATTTCTGCAGCTGGGAAGTTGTAAATGTTTTAACTCCTCCATATAAAACCTGAACATCCTTGGTGGCAGCAAAAGCAGAAACCCAGAAAAAGGAGACACACCAGGAATCCACAGACCAAAGTGGATAAGCAGCTTTCAAGTATTGCCAGTGCCTGGCACTAGCAGAGAATAGAGTCAGCAAAAATAACAAAAGTGTAAAGAGAAAACCTAGAGAATACATAGCAGAGCCTGAAACATTTTTGCACTACAAGAAATGGAAAAGACAAATACTAGCATGTTCTCTGCTGCTATCTTAAATTTTTGTGACACATGTAACTGCCTGAGCATGAGACAGCTGAGATTACGCACTTGTTTCCTAAGCTGTGACTCTTCCGGTGCCTTGGTACAGGAGGTGTAGGTAGACTTGCTGCTACTGAGGCATCAGGACATGTGGGTCTCCTGCTGAATTTCATAATTGCTGATATGTCAGACGGACCTAAAAGACAGAGATTATTTAACACCGGACTGATGCAAATTCCAGAAATTTCATTGGCTGGTGTGTATAGGAACTGATTAAAATTAATTTTTACAGATAACCAAAAGCCACAATTTCTGAAGCACTGTTTCTTGCCCATTAGGGTTACACATCCATTTTTGTTATAAATTCATCTCCATAATCTTGAACTCCCTGGAGTAATTTTTAAAATAGTTTTGCTCATACTTTTAACAATGAACTACAAAAACTCTCAGCATCCTTACAACAGCTGGATGTGCCAAAGCATAATATACCGAGCCATAAAGTCGGTTTGTACTTCAGGTGTGAACAGGAACGTTCACATGTGTTTTGAATTTTCTTCACAACTTCATGTTGTGAATAAACTGTAAACAATCTGCTCATACTGACTCACAGCTTGAGCATGTAAGAAAATCCAAGGGCTCTTCATATACCTAATGGACAGACAGATGCATTACTTCTCAAACATCTATGAGCTCTAGAGATGTCTCACTGCAATCATTCTTCCTCTCAATTTACAGAATTTATGAGGCCTCACAGAAAACATGGACAAACTGGTTTTGTTCCAGCTCCTCGATGCTGCTCACAAAAGGCAGGCAGTGATCTTTGCAATACAGTGGAAAACACGGACTGTCATCATCCTCAGTAAATACCAGGCTCTTCTTGGCTTCACAGCAAACAGCTGAGATTTCACTTTTAAACACTTAGTTATGGCATTGGTGCTTGTGATGAAAGTGGGAAGAGTGGTCATGAAAGTCTTCATCTGCCCCGTATCTTTCTCCTTGGGACAATCCAGGTACTAGCAGAACAGACTTTCCTCTACATTACAAAAATCACTTCTTGGAGGTTCCAGCAACCTCAGCTTAGTCGGCTTCTGGACTCTTACCAAAACCCACTCATTAAGAGGTTGACACAAGAGGAAACTTTGTGATGTGAAAAGCCATGTACAATCATCATCAGAATATTTACAAAAGTGTCTGGCATCAAATAAGTAATAAACTGAAACAGAAAAAAAAAAAACCCTCAAAACCAATCCAAAACACCAACATTCCACGGCACAGTTTGACAACAGGATGTGAACATGAACTTTTAACAGAAATGGTTCTGAGAGGCAAGACTTCCCAGGGAAGTGGTCATGGCACCAAGCCTGTCAGAGTACAAGGTAAAGCTGGTTATATCACAACACTCTTAGTGATATAATTCAGTTTTGTGTAGCCCTGCAAGGAGCAGGAAGTTGGACTCAATGATCCTTACAGGTCTCTCCTTACTTGAGACATCTATTTGTTATACAGGCTGCTCTCTCTACCCTGACGCACCCTGAAGGAAGGTATCAACTTCTGCCTTGAACTGAGGATTCATGAGACACAAGAAGAAATAGGAGAAACAGTAATGAGTTTGTCCTCAAAAGGAGGACAAAAAAAAAAAAAAAAAAAAAAAAGAAAAAAAAAAAAGGACAAAAAGTAAGAGGCAAAAAAACCCCAAATAAATGCAAGATGCTTTCCTGCCCATACTCACTCTGCAATATAGATTTATATCAAGTTGTAGGAAACATAGAAATTAATTCCAAGTTATCTGTATTTTTATTTCACCCTAGCCCAGACTCTGGAATTTCACTGTGAACTGGATTGTAACTAGGAAAAATTGCAAAGGGTTTTCCCCAGCAGTAAGGGGAAAGATTTAATCCACAGAGTGTTCTGCACATTTGAGCAAACAGTTCATTATGTTGCTTAATTAATAATGAATTGAGCCGCAAGACAAGCAAAAAGACACAACTTCTTTTAGCAATACAGAGAGGAGGGACAAGTTTGTTAGAGGAACCTTCAGTAGTATTATTCATCAGACCATCAATTTAGTAGGAGAACAAAGACAAAACAGTTTTTAAGCATGTTTTCTGCCTCATTCATATATACCATCAGGACAGCATTTCTGCCTGCCCATCTTTGCTACCAACACACAACTGCAAATTTGTGAAACACAACAGTCATAGCAGCAGTCACTGGTATATGCAGCTTCAGAGAAGGTCTTATACCTAATGGCCACGTGCAGTTTAAAAAAATGCACTTTCAGTCATTACTTCATCCAGAGATTCACCTAAAGACACACATCTGGGATGTTGGAGAGGGCCCAGTACAACGTGCTTGCTGCACATACAAGTAAAATTTTGATGCATTTGGGCTGTAACACAACACAGGAAGCTTCTTCCCTAAAACCAAAGCAGTTCATCTTCCATTTCTGCCATGGAGTTGAAGCACAAATGAGGACAGAAAAAGTATGATTATGAATGCAATTATGTGTTGCCTAGTTTAATGTAGAAACTGTATGGATTCATAATTCACCATTAGGTCTGAAAAATCTTATCTGCTGCATTAGTAGCAAGAATATACATTTCACTAAAGTCTTTTACCATGGATTTTCATTACAAATTAAAATTTATGCAGAGACAAAACAAATGCCTTCAAAAGTTTCAGAAATTCTTACAAGTTCTTTAGTTTGAAAACTTCCAGTCCTTCGGATGGACTAGGTTCCCAAAAAGGAAGTTTGCTCTACATGCTCTCTTTCTAGTGCCTTTCCATCAGATACTTTTCAACTTGTGAACAGGAAAATACTTAGGATTATTAAGATGTTTATTACCTGCTAAGAAGTCTAAAATATATTGGAACTGAAACCCAGGATAAAAACAGTGGCAGCTAAAAAAGAATTTCCCTGAAAATTATGAGCATTTATCAGCAAGAGTTTCATCTGAAACTCAGCATAAACTTCAGAGTTAATATGCCCACTCTGAAGCTTGTCCCTTAATTTGGTTGCAGGATTTGTTCATTTTTATATTGCTTCCTGCTGTGTCATTCAGGTGTTTCTGATGCCAGTTCTCAACCTTGATTCACACTTAGTTTTTTTCAAGTGGATGACATTAAGTTCTTTTAAGTTCACTGAATGCTACTGAAGTATTATTTTTAACAAGTTACTGAAACCACAGCCTGTGACATAGCAGAAATCTTAAGGCATAGCCCTAGAGGATTATCAGTATAGTGCAGTGCTTTTTCACATAGACATTGCGCCACATGTAGAAATAACTGTTAAATTTTGTAACACATAATAGTTTAATGGTTAAGTTTCTCACAGGGGAGAATCAGGAACCTGAAAGCAGTTTGATTAACTTTGTTCCAAAGCATTGATATGCAACAAAATAAAAGCATGAGACTGCATCAAAATTACTTTATCAGAAAGAACAGCAAAATAACAAGTCCACTGCTGACACAATCAAGTTATTACAAAATCAAAGCTGGCTGGATTTGACTCCAGGTAGGTTCAAATGTTACGATCAAAACTACAAAGAGTAAGAGATATTATCTAGCAAGAAATAATAGTTTGAGACTTTTCACTCTATGCTCCCTTTTTTTCTCCCTCTCTTTAGGGAGCATGGACTGAAATTTACTCTAATATGATTGCAATATGAAACTATCTAAAGATTGATCATTATAAAGATGATAATTACTTGACTGAAGCAAGAGCTTTTATTTCCTGGACTGCTTTAGAACAGAAAAAGTTTGATAAACTGCCACCCTCCCCCTGAAACAAATTATGTAGCGTGTCTAAAAGGACTCCACATGTCAGATGATAATATAATAACAGGGAATATTATGAATAATATAAAAAAAAATATTAGGGACTAAAATTTCAGTTGACATAAAAATATTGCCAGGCTTAAGGTGCGACATGTCAAGGGTGACAGTTTGTGGAAATAGGTGTAAGAGTCTTACAACTCAAGACAACAGTCCAGCTTGGCTTCCTTGCTATTATATATGGCAATCACAATTGCTTGCACCAGTCCTGTCAAAGAAGGAAATGGATCTGGGTTGACAGACCACTGCAACAGGCTGCCTAGAGAGAGCTCGTGGAGCTTCCTTCATTGGAGGTATTCCAAAGCCATCTGACACAATCCTGTGCCATGTGCTGTAGGATGACCCTACTTGAGCAAGGAGCCTGGACTAGATGGCCCACTGTGGTCTCTTCCAACTATGTTGTGATTCTGTGACTTATTCAAATTCCTAGTGAGGTGTCTTCAGTGAAGATTCTGATGGCAGAAAACAGAATGCTTTGTGGGATCAGATGAAAACAGAAATATCATCTGTGCTGGTATTTTATGGTTGGACTGACCATTTTCAATGCAGTTCTGCATTCTCCTCTTCTCCAAGGAGAGAAGGACATCCATACAGTTTAGCTCTGTTAGCCCTGTGCTAAGGTAATAAGAACCTGAACTTAAACACCTTTACATAGTCTGCTCTGCTTTACATATCTGCTCTGCTGCCAAATGTCTGTGAAGAAGAATGGTGAAGTTTATAGAGTTCTCCTCAGCTGGCTACACTTAGAAGCAAGAAATCTGGGGTACAGTGAGTGTCAGCATGAATTACGGGGCATCGAGCAGATGACCTCATTTCTGTAAAGGAGTAAGAGACAAAGAGAGCCCATGTCAAGAAGGATGCCAAGAGGGTAAGCAGTGAGATACTGATGACAACTGCACAGACCAAAGGGATGTTTATGGACATACCAGACTGCTGAGCAATTAGCTGGGGAAGTTATGCCTGATACTGCTGATAACAAAATTCCAATACTTAAATTCATTTGGGATTGAGTTATTTTGCCCCTTTTTTCCAATAAGTGAAGTCATCTGCTACTGCTAAATCTTGTCTTTATTCTTCTGGCTCCACTCCTAGTGCATACTGTTACCATGATTGCTATTCTGTTATTTTGCCTTTCATGGAGACAAAGCACTCTTAGCAGGATTTTCCAGTCAGCTGGCATGAACAAGGGTTAGTTTGGTTTTCATTATTTCTCAGCATCATTTTCAAGATTATGCTGACATGCACAGGAATGATGTATAAAAATATTAAAATGTTATTAAAAATGTGTTTGCATTAGGGAACGTGAGACAACTTCATCAGAGCAAGTCAAATGCTGTTCAGAGATCTGTGGCAAGAACATTT